TAATTACTCATGAGTTTTCTCTGACTCTGTGCAGATTGTAAATTATTTTGCATTTCTGCTTCCAATTTTAATGCAGCATTAATTCCCAAACTTAAGAAAATCTAAAGCAGGCTCATGGTAGAGATGGGAAGGGCAAAAGGGTGGAAAGGAACACTTCTTACATTTCAAGAAGGAGTACTTTTGTTCTTGAGAATATCACCAAACATTGCAAGAAATTTGTACTGGTGAGATCAGTTGTGTTCATCTGGGTCACTTTCTGCTTTTCACACTGATTTTGAACAAGTTTCAGTCTTATGAGCCAGACGTTATGGCTCAAAAACAAGATATTCAGCAAGCAATTACAGCATTCTCTGGCACTGCTGAAAAAGTTTGAGACTGTTTGATATAGTCTATCTATAAATAGAGACTTTAGTCTCCTGAAGTAGTCAGGTGCATATTTGTCTCACTATAATGCAACAGAGAACATTCAAAAACTTCTAGGTTAATTTTTCTATTGAGTGTAACATCTAGATAACTTAAATCTAAAGGCAGGTAAATACTACCCATAGGCTTGAAGTGTTTCCCACTGAAATAATAAAAAAAGACTGACCTCTCCCTGAACTTTGGGCCTTCGCTCTAAATGCAGTTGGACCTTTCAGAATAAGTAATTTATTCAAACTCAGAAGGCTGGCAAGGTGGTTCCAAGAAAGGTGGCTACCATAATTATATTTCTCCATTCTGCTTTCTGGGGGATCTTCTGAGTATCCTAGTGTATCTCCTAGAAAATGAGTGGGATATACCATTGCCAGTAAAAGAAAAATGAGAGGAAAATACTGGTTTTGGTAAGAGGAAATCCTTTATATCTTTTCAGTGAAAAGTGTTTGTCCTAGCTGCATTGCAAACACTGATGTTTGCAGAACAAAAATTTGTAGTCCAGCTCTTCAGCTTCTGAAGCAGTTGTGAAACTGGCAGCTAGGCTGCTCTAATTCTTTTGTCATTGGGGATAATGTATAAAACCAGAAAGAAATTTGCTTTCTAGGACAATCTTTGCTGTGCTGACAGTAAAATCATAGTCTGACTTGTGAAGTGAGTAAATTTCATATGGAAGTAATCAGGAAGAACTAGGGAGCAGCAGTATTTCCTTTTTCTACAACTGACTATACTTTTCTGGTCATAAAAATGTACACTTTATCACCTAACTTCACAGTAATTTTCAGTATCTCCTACGAATAAGGATTTTTTTCCCCCTTAAATACACAAAATTGGATAGATGTAGCAAAGCTTGGAAAAGTAAACATTCAGAGTCCTAAGCTGAGGATGACAGCAGGTTCACAGTGAGCAAACTGGAGAATATGCAGTCCCAGAGATAAAAAGGATGGGAACCAGTCTCCAAATAATGGGCTTTTCCCCATAGGTTTACTCACATTTTCAGATTCCTTAGAATAACATTCTCCTTCAACCTTCTTTACTTTGATATTTATAGGGAGTACTACATTCCTATATTCCTAGAAGTATTCATTTCTGAACTTTATTCCCATGTTCCTGCAAGAATCCTCACTTAAATTTATTTCATGTATAGACGTTGAAGTCATTAAAGCTTCAACTTTCACTGTGCAACACAACTGTAACACATTCATATTCTTTAGTGCTAAGATAAGGAGACTTTATATCATATTTTGTGTCTTTTGCCAAGTCTGATGAAATCCCCAATAACACCACAATATATTTGAGAACTTGTAGTGAATCATCACCAGGATTTCTATGATCGTCAGACTTTCTCACTGAAATTTATTCAAATACAAGAAACAACAAGCTTGAACCCAAATGAAAACAAGTATTCTTGATAGGCCATAAGCCTTTTCTGCAGGAGAGTCAGAAGTCAGGAACACCAGATCCTACAACATGACCTATGGAAATGTGTTCAGGGAGCTATGTAATAAAAATTAGTGATATCTGTAGCACAGATAAACTCCTGAAAATAGTAGTGAGCTCAGAATCTTCCTTTAATTCCAAAAGATATTCAATCAGAATTGACAGAAGTCAAATGGTTGTGAATATTGTTAAAACCCCAAAATTCTTATCCAGTGACAAACACAAGAATTCCTCTGTGAGGAAAAGAGTACTGTTTCTTATAATACTTTCATTACCAACATTCAGGAAAACTATTCAAAACCGAAAAAGTCCCAAAGTCAGAAACCTTAATAAGATTAAGATCTAATGTGAAAATGTCCCAAAAGATAAACTGATGTTACTTCAGGAATTTATTGTGTTTTATATTATGTGCAATGTAAAGTCTTCTTCTGTGTCTGCCATGAACCAAGAATCAGAAGGCGCATGACAGTCTGTGGCTCATCACTGATGGTCAGCTTGTGCTATTGTAAACTGCAGAAATATTCCCAAACTCCCCATGGGTGTTCCAGCTTCTGCTTTGAGGACAGTCGTGTCCTTCAGGACAGGATGTGTGATCTGCAGATAACACAGAAGTGTCTACTACTCCACCTGCCAATGAATGTGGGGACTAAAGAAGACTGCAGTACTCCGCACATACTTCCAACATTTGTGAAAGAGCATCAATCTGTGTGAGCCACTATCTACATCATGCTCTCTAACTGGATGATGAGCTGAGACTAGAAAGCACTGAAACCTCAACCCTTTAGAAGTAAAAGAAGTACACAAGGCAAAAATATTCCAGTAAACTCATGCAAAAAAGGTATATTACTTTAGATCTTAATGGGAGGGTTGCTGACTCCATTGGGCAGGGCACAGGTATTTTAACAGATATTTTCCTCTACTTCTTCAGCGAAGGCACACAAATGACTGCTGAATGACCCTTGACAATGAGAAGGAAGACCTCCAAACCAGATATTTGTGTTATGACCCTTTATCTTCTGAAAATCCCCTGAAATTTAAATAGAGGTGATGACTCTAGAGAACAAGTTAAGAATTTCAAATGGTTGAAATGATGGTGGAAGCACTGTACAGTTCCACTTTGCAAAAGACATTGTATAGCATGTATGTTAATCTGAAGTTCCAGTTGTCTTCTTCCAACTCAGGTTGTCAACTGTCATTACATTTTATACAGAACTAATTTCCAAAAAAGTCTCATCTGCAGCTTTAATCTTCTGTTGCTGTGCTAGTATTTTCTGTTTGGGTTTTTTTCCCCAAAGCATGAAACCAGTGTTCAGTGAAGTTTTGATGCCCCTTTTAGTTAAACCCTGGCAAACCATACATGAATTTATCCAGGTTTCTAACATAATTTTTAACCTTTGTTGTCTTTTAACTCCTTTTAAATATAATGTTTATCCAAAGCTTTTTTATCACTCCTTTTCTTCACATTTCACTCCGTTCTTTTGTACATGTCCTGTTTTCCTTCTCTACTCAACAAATCCTTATATCCTTACATTTCTAAATAGCAGGTCTAATTCAATGCCTTTTCAGTCGCAACAGATATCACTGTCTGTTAGCAGTAGCACAGACCTTATACATAATAATTTATATACCTCAAGTTCTTATATGGGACATTCAGAGAATGTAGAGCAAATGATGGAAAGAATCAATGCACAGCTTTCTAGTTGACTGGATAGCCCATTTCATGCTGATTTTTCACTAAAAAAAAAATCTCTTGGAAGGTTTTCCCAGGTTTTAACAATAACAGGCCAGATCAGTAAAACTCCAGTGAAGTTGAAGGAACTGCCTCAAGAATGAAACTGGCTTGCTCTTTTGCTTTTATAAACATGGAGTTTCCTTGACCCTCAAGTGGAACAGCAGGGTACAGGGCAACATATTCAAATGAAATTGATGGAGGTGCTTGTATATAGGCACTGCAGAACACCCTTTGTGGTTCAATGACTGCTTTTAAAAAATAACACCCCCCTGCAACTGCTAAAGGCCTCTTTTTGGAAATCTGAGAGGAAATGGATGAAACAGGAGTATGACCCAGTCTTACATCGGTGAGTACAACAAAACCATATTCAAAATTATTTATTCAATGCTACTAAATACCTTCAGATATTTCCTCCACTGAGGACTATTTCAGTGCAGTTTTTTTACCAGCAGAAATGTAATCCAGAGCTGCATGCTTAAAGCCATTGCAAATGTAGGATACAGAAGTCAGTTTTGAAAAAGCAAACCTTACAAAACTGAAAACATAAATAGAAAGTCTCCACTGTGAAAACAAAATCTTAAAATTGCTACTAAATATAAGGAAAGAATTCTTTGGAAAGCACACAAATACAAACACTCAGCACATCTACAGATCCCTTGCTAAAAGTTTCAGATCCCTACCTCTAAAAAGAGATATGATTGTTCTGAAACTGTAAGGCTTGACAAGTTTTCACCATATGCAGTAACAAGGTCATTAGAAAAGCTGTTTGGCTATCCGAACCTAACAGTCAATACAGGCTCAAGATCAGCATGTGAAATTAAATCATAAAATAAACATACCCTGAACTTTCGAAAAGGATGAGATTCCCTCTGCAAACAAATCACACCCCCAGATCTGAAAGGATTTACAGCATATAAGAGAACTTGCAGTGTAAAGAGGACAAAGAATATGGAAGGCAGAAAACAATGAAAAGAAGAAAAGCATTTCATTGGGAATGATTTCCTTATATGGCTTTATGCAAACATTGGTTATTTGATATAATGAAGAGGAATAAAATAACCAGATTGAAACAGAGAGCTTACAAGATCAAAACATGTCTCAAGGGATAGGCAAAACCCTGGAAAAGGCTCTGAAGAAGAAGGATATAAAATATGAGTAGCAGACATATGGAAAGATGACTACCCAAATGCAGAAAAAATTTAAAACAGAACAACCAGTGTTTCTTCTTATCAACTTACCATAATGGATAATCAGATGCATAACTGTAATATAATCTCTAAATAATCTTTATCATATATAGAAATAATAAATAATATTTATAATATAATTATTTATTAATTATAATAAATAATATTTATAATGATATAAACTCTAAATCTCTTTATAATCTAAAAAAATCTGAAAGCACTTGACTTACCTATGAGAGCAGAGCTCCCAGGACTGACAGTCAGTTTTGTTCCTGAAGGAGAGGTCAGCACCGAATGAGTGCTGGGCCCAGCACTGGAAAACACTGCTGCCAAGTCTTCTAGGTAAGGAATAGGTTGTGGAGGCTCTGGTAACAGATTGGAAGACTGAAGTGACAAACAACACTATAGCAGAAAATACCTCCGGGACAAGTAAAAAAAAAACCCACCAAAAACTATTGCTGCATTATTTGCTGCACTGCAACACAACATAACCACTTCAGAGGGACAGATTTAGCAACTTCAGGCAACTACTGAAAGTGCTTTGCCTCATGTTAGGTAAGGCACTGGGGAAAGGATTAAAATAACATCTGGGTCAGTATAACCACAAACCAAAATAAATTCTCTCTGAAGGCTATCACGGCATTCTGGTTGTCCCTCTTCATAACTGAAGAAGGTATATGGTATCAGGAGATATAGCAGCTTGAAAGAAAGAGCAAATTTATACAGCACAGAAGCCAAATCTAATGTTCATGGTAATTAGTGAAAAACTTTCCAGTGTCTGCTGCAACCTGGATCAAGCCCTAATTAAATATGGTTATAACCTTGCCAAATCCTGTGGTATGCTTAGGCAGAGCTCCAAAGGACTAAGAGTTAAGAGCTCAAGAGGATCAGTCTATGCTGAGAACTGCAGTATTTAGTTCTTTACTAATCATAATGCTATTTTAAAAATTGACTGTAATGCCTATCATTCCCAATTATATTTGTCATGAAAATGATGGGATATTTGATTTAAATGAATGGCGGCTTCATCCTCTTTCCATAAAATCTTGGCACACATTAGGCAAATTTTCTACCGCTGATAGCATTGAGCACCAGAAGTACAGGTCATGGATGCTTGAACTGTTTTATTTCATCAAGGAGCTAAAAATGTCATTTGCAGCTTGTATAACTCACAGTAACTTACCATCCTTAAAAGCTAAGCCGTTTATAATGATCAGAAAAGAATTTACAGATCACATGAGAGTTTTTCTTTATAGGTTGAAACTCAGCTGGGGGGGTTTTTTTAGATTTTTTTTTTCTTTCTAGACAAATTCTAGAGTTAGTCTATTTTGTAGGAGAAATACGTGAACTTTCATTTTAGTATTTTCTGTGAAACTGAGAAACCTCATTTTAAGACATCCTCTGGAAGCTCATTCTAGTCATGAAAGATGACAACTGTAACAGATACTCTAATGGTGTTGTACTAATAACAGAGATTAGGGTTCAAAATTTAAGACTCCACTATCAAGTGCAGTCAAGTGCTTAAAAAGTCAGGTTGGATCATTCATCCGCCAGGCATACAGAAATGACAGAAGATGAATTACTAGGAAAGGAAACCCCTTACCCACACATCCAATTACCACCAGGTAACACTTCAACTCATATTTCACTGTCTGCTGACATTGTCTTTTCAAATCACCCAGCTGGGCTTTCTGTCTGTTGTTTAGAAAAACAGGAAAAAGTAAACTTCACCCTTCACTGAATTTGGGAAGTGCTTTTTTAAAAGTGCTCTGGGTTTATGTGCCTGTTGTGAAATGGGTCAGAATCACACAGTGATGAATGGAAAGACTGCTCAGCAGAGGCAGAGGGTTGTACAGGGAAAAAGTGGCATCACGCTCATTTTCAATAGAGTCACTTTTAGATATGGTTAATAAATGCTTTTCTTAGCTAGCAAGTCTGAAAGACTTAAATTCAATATCTTGGGACTGGGAGGTGGAGTCCCCTGTGCTTAGACATTTTCTCCTTATCCATCTTCCTTTTAACACCAACTTGCTTTAGCTGATGCTGCCCAGAGCACAAACGCAGTCTGATTCTCTTCTTAGGACAGGGCTGCCGTATGCCATTTCCTCTTTCCACAACCTCTGATTAGTTCTGCTGTCTGGATGTGCTAGTAGCCACATTACTATTGTTGCAAATGCAAAATACCCTGGACTTACCAAGAACCAACAGCTGGGAGCTTTCAGTTACCTCCCCATGAAGATTGGCTGCCTTGCAGGAGTACAACCCCTGGTCTGACAGAGAAACATTTGCAATTATCAGCAACCCATCATGAAGGTGATGAGCAGAGAACAGCTTGACCTTGTTCTTAAACCAAGTAACTTTTGCTTCAGGAACACCTGGGAAAACATTGGTAAAATTTAAGACAGGTAAGAATTACAAGGTAAAAAATACTTGTAAGGCAAATCGTGAGAAAAGAGGAAGAGATAAGGAGTACTGAGAAGGGTAAAAAAAAGGGGAAGGGACATTGAGGATTTCATATGGCCACAGTCCTTAAGAGCAGGGACTCAAATAAAAGAATTAAATAAATACAGAGACAGAAACAATTACTACGCTTCTTGCAGGCAGCTGCTGAGATAGTCTTAGTCCAGAAAGGCAGATTCCTCTGCACGTCATTAGCAGCAGAAGAAAAAGAGGTTAAAAATAAGACCCCCTTACTGTTGAGGTATTGCTGCTAAGTTTAGGAAAGATGTACTGTACCTACAAAATGCCCAGCAACTCTACAAAAACCTTTGTCTGACTTCTAGAAGGGTGTTCTCCCTCTGTCTTTAATATTTCCACACTAACAGGAGACTTGCAGCTAGAGATGTTCCTACAGTTTGGTTTAGGGAAGATAAGCAGTGTGTGTCAGTGGGCAGAAGTTTCATTTTATTTTGAGCTTCCAACTTCAGTGTCACACACAGTTTCAAGACAGCAACTGGAGGCAGGCAGCACAGGGATGAGAAAACACATCATGTTGCAGCACTGCCACGAGGGGTAGCAAGAGCATTTCAATCGGTTTTGCTGGGTAATGGGGAGATGACAGAAGACAGAGAGATGAATGTTTGCCTTGCAGAAACATCACAGAGACTGAAAGTCTGAGGGGTGCCAGCTGGAAATAGAGCTCATTTTGCTGCACAGACTTTAAGCTGGGAATAGTTACCCAGGTCTATTCTTCTTCTGCTTTCCCCTCCATCACTGTGCATCTATCCAGCACAAAAAGGCTAACTGGGATAAGTAGCAAACAGAATTATGCAAGACAATCAAGACAATTTTGCTAAATCAAGGCTTTTGAGAAGAAAAGCATAGCAATACAAGACTCTAGCAGCGGTGACTAGTTTCCAGTGCCAAAATATTCTTGAACTAGCGAACTGAACACCAAAATTTGGTGTAGCTGATGAATAAACACAATGAAGCAAGGTAAGAAATAGAAAAATATAACATCCAGCATGTAGGTGAAATACAGAAAAAAAGAATGTTGAGGAGAGTTAGGGAAGCTTCAAACTGGAGTTAAGCAAGCTTCAAACTGGAACATCAGAGAGACAAGGATATGAAGGAAGGATGGAAACATATTTTAAGTCCCTCTTCCAAACCTGTTCTGACTCAACCGTCACTAATGGTACATGACATTTTGCAGGATGTCCTAAGAACTAGATTTTTAAAACTGTTTCCCTTCATGTCAAACTGTATTTTCAGTAATGGTTTGGGCTACATTGCTTGAAGTTCCAATATTCAAATGAGTATCTGCAAAATTTAAGTGCTGAAATGAAAAGAAGGTTTCCTAGTGATACTGATGTGAACTAAATTACTCCCACATTCCATCTGGAAGTGAAATTGCCCACAGTAGTCAAATCATCCACACCAGAAATGATGCTGGCTTTCTGACACGTGGAAGAAATCCTTCAGCAGGAAATCACAGACATCTGCAAGGCTCCTGTGTGACTTTTGGGTGGGAGTTCCCTTCGGACTAATTTTGAAGAAGTCTGGGATTGACTACAATCACCTAACTGGCTAAAAAATATAAGCTTTTGCCTCTATAGATAAAGCAGTGAAGCTATGTCAAGTGAAATAATATTGATCAAAACCACAACACTATCTCTGTGGTATAACCAAAATAGAGTTTCATCTTGACATAATTCACATCACTTAAACTTTAATGGTGACAATTAAACTCTAATGCATCCATAACGATTTTGTTTTCCCTCATCTTACAGTTAATATCTGTAGATTTCAGCTCAGAACACAGATTTTGACAGTTCCTATGCCTTTCTTAAGAAGTTAAAGGTAAATAGGAAATGATTCCCTAGGCTCTGGTAGTGGTCTCTTCCATTACCTCTTGTTTTTAATAAGCCATCTCCAGACTTATCAACACCTGTCAGCAGCAAGTACATATTTATGTTCCTTGACAGAAAAAGCAATTTTAGAAAATATCATAACTGATCCTTAATATTTCTCTTATAAGTATTTATTTTACTGTCCTGCTGACTTTCAGTAAAGATGTGTCCTCACAGGAGCCAAGACATCCAAATCTGATACACGCACAGTTCTATACTACAGACTATACAGCACAGTGATAGAAACACAATTTATAGTAGTGGGATTAACTGCCATCAAATTCTATTTCAGAACAACTCTCATTTGTTGTGCTGGCTCAGGATATCCTGATACGACTAGAGGGAAAGTTCTAGAAGGAAAAGGCCATAGCTTTACAAGACTGTGTGAAGAGTTTTTTCATCTAGATAAATCTCCACATAATTTCTGGATACACTAGTTTGCTTTCTAATTACGTAAACTTTGTTCTCACATTATAGTATCTTTTTTATTACCAGATGTTATTGCATTAAACTTTGTGCTTTAACTTACTATGATCTGCTAGCCATTTCATTGTTTATGTTTTCTGGCAAACTACATAGCTCTAAAGTTCACCTACTCTAAAGAAGTAGGATACATTTGCTGACTGAAGCAACAGTGCATGTTACGCTTATCCTTAAAAGTAATCGTTCTAAGTAGAATGATTAAAAATATATTAAAGGATTGGATAATTACAATGCTGATGCTAAACCAAAACGTTTGTGCTTACATTAGAAGGAAAATTGCTTTTATTGTGCTATTCTTTTACATCTTCATGAGATGGTGTGTTTTCGAGGCATAGGTGAGATAGCTGATAAAAATCACTTGTTCTTGGATCACTTCCCAAGGTAGCTTTTTTTTAATTGCTGGTGAATTATTGACACTATTTCTGTGAAATCAGAATTCTAGTGGCTATAAAATATATCTGCCCTCATTACTCACTCTCTTATTCCCTGTGTAACATTACAGCTTGTGGTTTATGATTTTATAATAATTTCAACAGCTTTAATCTCTGGTGTCAAATATGCTTTCTGTGTAGGCAGTAGCAAAAGATGGTTTTCTCATCCATGGAGAAAAACAGGATTTAAGCAAATTTCTTCTGCATCACAGAAGATTCCAATATACAGTAATGCTACTAGCTGGCAAAAAGCCTTCTCCAAGGAGAGAATACAAATTCTGCAGTGCCACTGCTAAAATTTTCCATTGCAGATGTACATTGTCACAGTAGGTAAGTTTCATAAAACAGAGAGATGATTTTCCTCTCAGAAAAAGCCTTGAATTTGTGCCCCTGACCATGCTGGGCTTCCCTCATGTACTTTTCTGATGCTGTAAGTACTGTGGCAACTTTGCCTTAGCCACATCCTGTTATTTATATGATGACTTTATATTGAAGGGAAATGGCTGCACTTCTTGAATCAGCAATCCCTGTCTGCATCTGCAGGTCCTCCCCATCTGCAGTTGAGAGAACCCAGAGAGAGAAATCCAGAATAATTTAAGTTCATACAACTTTTAATCTCTTTCAACAAATGTCAGTACAGGTGATCATGCAGGTCTGGGGGTAGAAAGAGTACTACTTTCATCTTCTTCCTTGAAAGTGTCTGGACATCAGTCTGATTGAAGACAGTGTCTAGAGGGTATATAGAGCCTCTATATTGAGAGGGTAAGAGAATAACTGAATTTACTCCTTCATGAACCTCTAGGAAAAATGATACCATACTTTTCTTTCACTCAGCCCCCTGAGAGTAATTAATAAATTGTGATTCCCGATTAGTGTTTTGCAATTACAAACAATACGCCCAGCTATTCTGTATATTTTGCTAAAGGGCAGATCACCAAATAGTGACAAGTACTCTTTTTTAGGTAACAATTTGTATAGAAGTGTGGTTGGCAGCACTTGAAGAAGAAAAACGTACAACAATAAGTACTTAAAGTGAGCACAAAGTGCATTTGTATTTGTATTTGTATAATTGCAGTGCAGATGCTTATATAGAGTTATCTTAAGTAGCTTTGCTATGGGACAAGAAACTAAAGGAAGGGTCTACGAGACTTCATACAAGTCTCCACCCCAGATATTTATGTAACATTCAGCATGGTTTACTTCATGTTTTGTAAGCTGCTCTCTTCTCTCCTGTGCCCCCTCATAATATGCAAGAAAGTGTAATGAATCAGCAGTCTGGTCCTGGGTCTTAGGAGATTTCCCAGCTCTCTCTCTTCCCCCACCCACCATCCCCATATCAACACCATTCCCACCAATAGCCATAGGACTGCCACATGCAGGTAAGGTCAACCTATTTTGGTTACCATTGGAAAGAGACAAACTGCCTTTGTAAAGACATTCAGGCTCTGGCTGGAAAACAGCCTGTTTCAGCAGAATTTCTCTGAATTCCTGCACTCTCAAGAGGAAAACAAAAAAAAAGAAACCCACAAAGAGAAAACCCAGAAAAAAACAGTGTGCTACCCTGCCTTTAATTCAAAATAGAAGTTTGGCAGGAAAAGAAGAAACTAAGTGGTGTGGTCTCTAAAAACCTCATCAGTGAGGAAATGAATCAGTCCACGGTTGTATATTCTCATCAAACATCCCCAGCACACAAGAATGTGTATCAGTTCTGTTGTATCTACATCATACTGTGTATCTCCAACAATGATGCCTGTCATATTGCCTCAGCCCAATTTACTTAAGCCACTACATTTATCTTGTTTGGTACAGATAAAAGGAGCACAAGTTCTATGGTAAGAATTAACAGAAGCAATGAAGTTTGCCTGAGAGCTAGGAAAACCCTGCAATTTTACCCAGCTGCAACTGGACATATCAATTTAGCAAATAATCCCACAGAAATTTATAGCCGAAGGCACCTGTATGGGAGACACAATAATTTTTTACCTGCAACCTGGCAGTTAATGGTAACATTTGCTTTCTGGATTGTTTTCACCATGCTTCCAATATCAACAGTGACAGCAGGTAATTCAGTGTTGATCACAGTAGCTCTTGATGTCTTTATCAGTGGCTTTCCTGCATAAAAGAAGCACCACAGCTTATAAAACCAAGCACACTGGACTCATATGGGACAGACGGCCTGGAACACTCTGTGTGAAAGTACACACTCCAGACGTGAAAAAGTGAAAATGCTGAAGTATGAGGCCAGCTGCTTTTTATAATATTTCAGTGTCACTAAATTCCATGGGTAAAGCTGTCTTGAAAAAAGAAAAAGCATACTTGGAGCATAGGCAAAATACCATTAAAGCCATATGGACACATGAGAATCAGCTGAATCAATAAACATCAGTACAGCTGGAGCTGCAGCAAGCTGCTTGCTTATGCTGCAACCAAATACCACCCTTTACCAAAGACGAGACATAGGAGCCTGAGTGATGGTTACAGGCACATTAATAGGAATGGAGGAAGTTTAGAGCAACGTGCAAGCTATTTACACATAGATCAAGGTTTCTTTAACCTACAGTGGTAACACAGGGGAAGACCAGATCATCACTAGAAAGTTTTCTCATAATGTCTAGTACAAGAAGATGAGGGGCATAAACAGTGTTAATGCATAACACTGTTGTTACAGGCTTTAGATAAAACAAAACAGGTTCTGTAACGGAAAGGAGTTCACCTCTAATAGAGATGCTGCTTGGCACACAACAAACTTTTCAAATTGTTTTCAGTGTGCTTCCAACATTGGTGGCACAAAACAGGTCAGAGATACTCAAGTTTAGCTTTGAGAGAGAGGAGTGGATCAACAGAGCTGACAAGAGCTAAATTAAGGCACTCCCCTGCCTCACCCAAATCTCAGGATGTTGCAGGAGTGGCAGAACATGACAACATTGCTTTAATTGGTATAGGACTTCAGTGGTTTTGACTCAATGTTGTATCTTCAAACTTGTCATTTTCTGAAACTCTATAAATCCTTCTTCTCCCTCCCATTTTAAATAAAGGGTCAGATACAAAACAGGTTCAGATATGGCCATTTGCCTAAAAAAGCTACAGTTTTAGGCTAATGTCTATTACTTGTTACATTTGTATGTTTATCTGGAGGTGACCAAGGAAGAAAAGATGGAAGTGCGAAAAAGAATTTGGTTTCATTGAGCTCATGGAAAGTCCTGAAAATTTAATTCAGTCCTAAATATAAATAGCTCCTTATAGCTGTATTTCCAGAGCTTTTAAAAGATGCCATTCATCTGGAATTCTTGTCTTATCAGTTTGGGTATTTTTTTTTTTTTTTTTTATTTTGGTGATTTTAATGCCTAAGAATAGCTAAATAAAATATTATCTTTTATTTTGAAGTATCTCCAAAACTTCTCATACTCTGTGACAAAGTCCAAAGCAAAGAAAGAAAAATTCCTCAGCTATCCTTCAGCCTTTTATTTTCTCCATTGGTTTCCACAATGCCATCAAAGATTAAAAATATTTTAGCTGTTCAACCCAGAAATGAGTAGGAAACCACTGAAAAAAACCAAAAGGGAAGTATATTCCTTTTTTTCCCATGCGTGTGTAAAATGAATCAGAAAATACTTCAATGAAATAGGCTTTCAGCCCCACTCCTGATCCTTCTAAAGATGACCTCAGCTCTCCAGGTTTTTTGTGAAAAAATGCTTCTATTATACCAAAAAGATTGTTACTTTGTTCCAAAAACTGTTCAGTATCTCACTATGATATTTATGGCCTCATTTTATGGGCTGTTCAGCTCTTTGCCTTGGATGTGAGATGGAAACGTATACCAGTTCCTAAGAGTTCAGCTTGAGTCTGGGATGTATGAACGTTAATTCACCTAAAAGGTTAAACTATGGCCTTGATAATTAATTATAATAAAAAAAGTATTAGCCTTCCTGTGCTACATGTATACCTAATGCTCCATTTACTTCTCATAGGATCACACAAAACTGTCTCCACAAACTAAGTTGTACAAAGACTCTGGCTTTTAAACTCACTGGAACCATGTGGACAGAATACCAGTTTCAACTAATGATTTTTTAACCTGATGTTCGGCTTCATGCTGGTGCAACATAAGAGGTTTAATGTGGAGTTGCTCCTTCGAAAATATGATACTGTCTTAACAGCAGCACCTCTACCCTGCTGCCCGGGATCCAGCAAAGACATTCCTGATCTGCAGTAGTGTAAAAAGGATCAGTATCTTTGGTTTTGCCTACAGGTAATATGTAGCTCTAATGGAGATCTTCGTTTTTCACTCTGGAACATTCAGTTGTTCTTATCCTAAGGGACAGACAAGGTCTCTTTCCAGTTGATTTACAGATAATCTGAGCTTCACTGCTGGCCATTGCTGCATTCTTACATTTTCTTAATGCTTCTCTTAACTGAAATTTTCTCTGTGTTTGCTGTAAAAAGCTTAATTTTAAGAATTAAAGCATAACAACAGCTATTCCTTCCTCTAATTATACATGGATATGCTGGCAGCTGATGGTTTCTGCCTGTGCATGGGAGACTTCCAAGTGCTTTCGCATGCTGGAGCAGTGAAATGGAAAAGTCTGAAAAATCAATAGCTTTCTAGCATTCTTAATGTGTTTTCTTTAGCCTTGGTGATAAATAGGATCCTACTATAAAACCTCTCTGCCTTGTCACAGTCATTAATTACCTGTTCTATTCCTTCATCTTATCAACAGCTCTTCATTCATGTTTGCTGCTCCATCATTCTGCTAGTCCTGATGTAGTTGTGAGCCTGCTGGCATTGCCTACCAATGAACCCCGAAGAAGATGGATTAATATACTACCATCCATTCCCCTTGGCTTTTATATGGATGAGTTTTCTTTAGAACTGGATTTTAAACTAACACAGGATATTTAGTCTGCTTTAGAACACAACTGTTACTAAAGAAATAGAAATAATGGAAATAAATTTCTTTGCAAACTTCTATTTGCTAGCAATTGAAATGGTGTCAGACCCTGCAAGGGACCAGCTCTTCAGCTCTCCTAGTTTTCCAGATTGCTGATGTACATCTGAGTAAGTCCTTCAATCAGAGACTGCTAGACTTGAAGAGATTAATGGTAGGTTTAAAATGAAGCATATGAATTGGGAGGCTTGGAACTGCATTGCCCATATAGGCTGCAAATAACCAGGATAAGCACCGTCTTCAGAGCATATGTCATGAGAGAAAAAGCACTGATTTCTTCCAGAAATACATAAGCCTCACAAACTATCTATGATAGCTGGACTATGCCTCAGGGTTTTCCAGAGTTCACACCCTCTGTTTTCCCCAGCGTACCTCACATAACACACTCAGCTTCATCAGCCATCTCTTGCACCACAAATAACTTCTGTCCGGAATCGCACAAATAACATGGATCATCCTGCAATTGTAGAGGTTGAACTATTACCTGCTAGAGTAACAGCAATGGAGACAGAGTCAGATCCCAAGGCATTGGATGCATTGCAAGCATAGAAACCCACATCAGCTTCCACGGGTGCTAGAATCTGCAAGGAGTCATCAGGCTGAAGGAGTATTCTGCAGTAAAACAGAATGAAAGATGGAATAGTCTTTTAGTTCATGTGAACATGAACACATTGACTGTGAATTTCTCAGATGTAGGGGTTTTTTTATGTTTCAGGCCTTTAAGTTATATTAAAAATCTATTAAATTTAAAGTCTTACATTGAGACTGTAAGCTGTGATTACTTAAACTAAATTTTAGCCTCATTCCCAGTTCTTGTACTCCTGATATGTGTATTAGAGAAAGATTGCCAAGTTATGAGCACATCTGCCCAGTGTGGGCAAAAACTTCCTTCTCTGCTGTGCCACTTCTGTACAATGCTGAATCAGTTCCCTAGTCTTTCTGTCTTCCAGTTCTGCAACACAGGAGTAGCAATATTAAAGAAAAACCAAGTTATTGCAAGGGAAAAGTCAGGAAACCTGATGAAGCTATGCAGCAAGAAGTGAAGTGAACCACAGGCTCAATGTTAAAGCCTGAAATAGATTCCAAATTCTTTTATTGATGAGTAGTTTGTACAAAATCAGTAGTCTTTTTGCTTCCCTAATAAGTGGAGACAAAGACTCAACTCCTCCTTAGGCTGAACTAACTGTTTTCTCTGCCAGTAAGAGGAGCCTAATATAATCTTAGTGTACTGACTATGGGTAAATGGGATGAACATGGCCTTAGTGCTCTTATGAACTGCTACTTTTCACAGTCTGGTTTTGCAGTGGAATAACTCATCAAGTTATGACATATACCTGTTTCAGCAAGAATTCAGTCCTCTTGTCAATGCTTATGTACCCTTATTTTCAGCACAGTGAATTTCATGATTACTGTTACTCTCTTTTTTTTTTTAGCTGAAACTGTTGATAAAATCTAATTATACTGTTCTCATCAGCACTTTCAGCAGCTGTTGCATTTAAACTCTTAGTTCAGGCTGTGATTGATAACGGCAAGAGTGAAAGTGGGGTAGGAAATGCCTGTAAAACATACGCAATAAAAGTCTGCTCACAGATCCTGGAATTGATGAGTCTCTTTACACTCTCATTCCTCCAACGAAAACTGTTTTCTCATGGACCAAAAAGTAGCAGATACTTGATTTTGTACAATTTTGTGGGTGGTAGGTGTCTAAAACAAAGCAGATTAGGGCCACCCAGCAAAATCTATTATAACAAAAAGATACTGAGTTAAAATGATTTTTCCCACCCTTTGTGAATAATAATACAAACAATAACTATAAATAAAAGAACTGCCCATTGTTAACCAAGTTTTGTAAATGTCTAGAAAAATGCATATTTGCAAAACCAACATTAACACTTTTTAAATTGAATCTATGCTTGCACAGCCAAAAAAACACCATTGGTTGAAAAAATTCCCTTCCCACTTCCATTGCCAAGGATCTTTTTCTTAACCTCTTAGTCATAAACAGGGCTAATTTCTAGTTAGCCACTTCTAACAGTGACAAAAACTAACAGTTTTTTTTACTCACAAAACTAGTGTTAGCAAGCATCAGTATCTCACATATAAATTTTTTAGTTTAACACTGACTGGTTCAATCAGGACATGGAATTTTTAGAGTTTCAGAAGTTGTCCCAAATTATACGAGTCTGTAAAATTTGTAAGTCACGTACATTCTGCCTGCATGTGTGCAAATACAGTACACAGGCCGATCTTCCAGTCCTACAGCAAACTAGTGCCTACAAGCCTCCTAAAAACATTTTAATAAATGTTCCTGTCACCTTCAAGTTGAGGAAGGAGTTTGTCTAGCATCACATCTGGTAAAACACAGCAGTGCACAATTGTTTGTTGTTACCACCTCTGCTGATGTAAATCTCTCTTTGTCAGTTTAAATCACCTCAAGATCCAGCACAAATATTTTTAGAAATAGGAATATGCCAGTCAGATACTTGCCTTTTTAAAAAAAATAACTTCCAACACAGCTCCATCTTATTATCTTTTAAACCCAAGTTTTAATGTACTTCTCCAGAACCAAACTAATATCCTCTTCTTTTCAATAATTCTTTCTGTTATTTGTGTGTCACAATTTGGCAGAGCTACTTTTCTTGGAAGCAGATCTCTTGTTATCCTTCTTTGTATAGAATTATTTTGGCTGATTTCCCTATTTGCCCACAGATTGCTATTTTTGCTATGTACTGAGTTGCTTGTCAGTGGTGAAAAAAATACCAGCTACAATTCTTTCTGTCAGCAGCATGTCTTCAGAACCTCATCTATGGACTTAAAATAATACAGCTTAATCAGTTTCATCTCACTGCTCCACACTGGATTGTCTCCAAGCCAAAAATGTATTTTACAGGACAGTATCAGTGACTAATTCTGATAGCAACTCACAAACACCTAACTCTGTATCACCTACTATTTACATTCTGCTTTATATACATTTATAAAATATACTTCTGTTTTAGAAAAGTTGATTATCAAGAACCAACGGATTCCCAGTGATGGAAACTACAGTATACTTGGAACGCTTACGAAAACACGCAGAAATTCCTCAAAGACTTTTCACTTTTAAAACTGATTCCTAAGAAAGTAAATCTGGATTTTTTTTGAAATAAAATGTTTTTGATCATATACAGAGTCCATATAATATCAGGTACTATCAGGCTTTGAAATGGCACTCAGAACCCATGCTAGTGTTAACTTGACACTTTAACCTTAGGAGAGCCTATGGACACTCATATTAAATATGCACTCCAGGCTGAATATGCAGACACAAGCCAGGAATCTTCTACTGGAATCAAAGATATTTTCAAGTGCTGCAGCTTTTTTTGTATCATATGTTCTCCTTCCACTCAGTAACTGAAAAACAACCCTTTTTTGGGGCGTGTATTATATATTTTTGTGATGGTACCTAGACTGAAGCTAAAAAGATTAATTTTTGCACGTGTAGTTATGCAGTAGGAGTCATACTTTTAAATGGATGAAACAGCTTATGGAATGGGGCAGTGGGAACAGAGCCATACCTTGATCATCATTACTGGACATCACTGATCTGACAAAATCCAAGGCCACAATGCAATAAAGTGTGTGCCTTTATCTTAGTGTTTTGTATGTACAGTACAGATACATATCACCCAACCTAAAACAACCAGCCTACACTCTAAAAATCACAACACAAACCAAGTACTTCTGGAACTTCAGTATATTTAGTAGGGCATGATCTGAGGAACTTCAGCACTACTCTCTGGCCTTCCTCAACAAAAATGTCTCTCTTTGATACTGATATGGGAAAGCCCACATACATCAGTTTTCTTACCCCCATTAGGACAAAGGTGGGCTGGAAAATTGGTTACCCTTCTCTATTCAGTGGCTGACAAAGTATGAAGAAGGCAAACTGCATAGCTGAAAGACAGCTCAGGCATACCAAACAGCACTGCATGCACATGGCCTTGCCGTTTACAGCAGCACACTGTGAGACTGCTTAAACCGCACCTTTCATTGACACAGATGACTGGCTGACAGCAACAGCATTCTCAGGCAAAACCAGAATACTGCTATTAAAAAACCCAGCAAAAAAAATCCACAGCCCAACTTTTTTACACACTATGATTTCTAAACTTCTGTTACCTCCAAACTTACAAGTGCTGAGTACATCTAAAACTCAGAGCATGGTCATTTCCTCCCCACCACCAACCTGAGAAACCATAAATGATGAGTACAGAAGGAAGTTCACAAAGTGGAAACTGCCTCAACATTTAAAGAAGAGTTCTCAATGAATAATGCTACTAACCAGCAAAGAAATTATATTTTCCTGAGTCTTTCTGATAGAAATTTTGAGCACATACAGAATGGCCTGACAATTCAGAAACATAACACAGCATTTAGTGGTATTTTGGCCAAACTGAATGGAAAAAAATGGTTGAAAAGGAATTGTAAAACTACATATAAAAAAATTTGAACTAGAATTTGAGAAATAATAAGACTGTTTTATTTCAGCTACCTCTGAATCTACCTCTTGCAACACGATGGCATTAAGCACACGTTAAGCACTTTATTTAACCCGCCTTCCCTTTCATGCATACCACAGAAGTCACAGTCATTTCAAATAGAGAAAACAAAAATCCCTTAATGTCACAATTCCAATGGGATATAACCACTGGCAATGAAAATAGAAGCTTTTATTCAGGGTGGTGTAAAGATATTTCCACAGGAATATGTCCAAGCAAAGGGGTTCTATGGGTCCAAGCCTTGATTATGAGTGCATGTGATTTCCACCAGAGATACATTCTCATTCTTAGTGACCTCTCCTCCTTCAAGAGTTACCATTTTTTTGTGTGCAACATCCAATATACTTACTAGCCTTCAGGCAGAGAGGCAAGAACCAGGAAATTCAGATCATTAGAGGAAACAATGATTTTTGGAGTGATTCAGTTACAGTAAAAAAGTGACTACATGCAGATGTCTTAACTGAGGTCAGTATCTTGTGCAGAAAGAGTGGCTACAAGATCCCTGGACAGCTTTATTGTACCATGTTGGTCAATATTACTGCCTGTTACACTCTCTGCCTGTTCTTACTCACAGAAAAGAACTAAAATATAAAATCCCAAGTATGCACATGAGAAAAATTTGTTATCAACACAATTAAGTAAGCACTGAAAATAATGTCTTTTTGTGTGCTCTTGCACACAAATGAATAAGGTGGAGTGATAGGAAAGTAAAGGCTACCTGAAAGAAATATAATTTCTGTGGTACATAGACAAAAGTGTTCTGGCTACACCTGGGGCCAGAACTCTGGAGTTTAAACAGACAAGGATTCACCAGGACACATCAGAAGACTAATGCTAAAAGATCAGTGTGTTGAGATGACAGCAGAGCTGCAAACAGCCATGAAGTATGGTTCCACAGTTTTGAGACTCCATCAGAACATGCCAATGGTGATGGCAATGCCCCTTGAGGTTTATCCTGGGCAGTTTTATGCATGGATGTATGTGTGGAAGCCAGAGGCTTCGCTTCCTCTGTCTTCTGCTACAATGGAGCACTGTGACAAATGTAATTTATATATCCAACAGAGGATATTAGTAATAAGCATCGACCAATTTTTGTATCTTTCATATTCAATGAATATCTTTCATATTGGTATTTCGTATGAATACCAATCTTCATAGCAAAAATCTCCACCTTTAGATGGAAAAACAAAACAAGGTTCCCAGTCTCTAGACATGGAGGGCTCTGTTGACTGCATGAGGCACTTACCTATTTTAATACTTTACAATTCCTTCTTTTGGCTTACTCAGTCAGAAGTTCCTGTTTGCCACACCAGTCTGACCCAGTATCCACACCTTCCTGAAGAGTTATAGTGCCCTGTTTACCACTTCACATGATTTTCCCTTCTTTCTGCTATCAAGTAAGACTACAGCAAAATATGGTTTTGTCCATGGGACTGACAGGCAGTAAAACACAGAAACCAGAGAGTCAAAATATCAACTACTTTCTTAAAAGTTAAATAATGTGTTTTGTTTTACCTATCACTGTATTTCACCTCCTCTCCGTTCTTAGCCCAGCTGATGGTGGGCTTTGGATTTCCCACCGCTTCGCAGTGAAGCAGCACGCTGAGTGTGCCACTTGCTAGAACCACCGTCTGTCCCAGGTGGGTAACAACCTCTGAAGCAGAAAGCTGTTGTGCTGCTGAAATCTTCCGCAGAATGGCAGGCTTTTGATGAGGTCTGCGCAAGCCATTAGCCAGGCCTACAGAAGCGGGAAGAAACACTTCAGCAGATGATGTCCTCAGGGAGCTGGTAAATCCAGAAACGTGTCTGTGGAAAGGGTACTCCACTGAGGCCGAATCAACTTTTCGCCTTGATGCTTTAAGGACAAATTCCTGGTGCTCCAAGTGGCTCTTGAAAATCTTGTGAGCCAGCTGCACAACAAGCTGCTCAGTGTACCTATCTTTAAGCTCCTCTGGCTGTTGAGACAAATTCCTTATGATATCATCCAAGCATTTCTGCTCTGTAATCATAGTAAATGGCAGGCTATGCTCCCGGCTCTGGTCCTCTTCTGAGGATGCATTTCTCTCCATGGACTCCTGGGCTTCCCAGGCCTCCAGATTTTCCCCTGGCCAGCCCCTGTGCTGTAGCAGCCTTGAGACAATACTGTCATACAATCTGCTGCGGTTAGCAAGGTGCCCTTGCTTTTCAGAGTTGCTACTATTGAAGAAAATCCCATTGAGATGTTTCTCCTCTGTTCTCAAGGCTTCATTTAAACTGGCCTTTCTCATGGCCTCTTCCTCCCTTATACCAGTTGGTTGGCCAGCAATTATCTTCTTGTTGCTTCCAATTAGTTTAATTATGAAATTCTCCCGGGCTGGCCCTGCTGTGCAAGTGTATGTCCCAGCATCTGAAGGCTTCAAGCGATGGATTTTCATGTACCCATAGGGCGCAATGGTGACATGAGCTGAGCTGATGAGCCTCTTGTCATCCTTCTCCCAAGTGATCATTGATTTTCTGAATCTCCTTGTAGGGCATCGGAGAACAACAGAAGTTTTGGGCAGTAGGTAGGCATACCCACCTACAATAAAGTGCAGTTTCTTCTGCTTTCTTGTCTGAATGTAAACTTTCTTTACAGCCATAATATGGGGGCTTTGATTATGAGCTGGCCTGTTGTGCCCTGAAATATTATTATTGTTATTAGTATGTGATACCATTAAATGAAACAAGCAGTTTACATTGGTGCTGGCAGCGTTTGACCCATTAGACACTAATGGGAAAAACTGGCCACCAGCTGCTGGACATTAGATTAGAACAATCAAAATAAGAGGAATAACAAGGCACACTTTAGGAACACAAAAGTAGTCCTGCCCAGAGTATATGCAGAAACTAAAGAGCCAGGGACAGAAGCTTTATGGGAGGGAGAAAGCTTGAGTGGAGATGTAGTTCTTGTTTTTCAAGTACTTAAATAAAGACTGTTGTTTAATAACTGCACTGAATAGACAAGTGTTTACCGTCCAAACCTTCAAAGGCATCTTGAAGCTCACAATGCTAGTAAAGACTAAAAGTCTTGCTGCCTCAAGGAGTAATGGCAAGCAGAACAAAACTCTCTGGACTAGGCTTAAAAACATGGTAAATGTTTTTAATAACATGGTAAATGTTTTTAAAGTGCACTAGTTCAGTGTGCCTTCCAGGTTCCAGATCTCTACATAAGAGATCTTTATTATGAAGCACTAAATAAATCTGCATAGGTAAATTTTTAGTTAATACCATGCAACATTTGGTCCAAGCATTGACTCTAAATGACAGATCTTTTCTCCCGACATACACAACATTTAGCAGTTTTAGAGTCAAGCTGAAACTACGCTAACTTTCACATATCCAGTTGGTTTACTGCAAACTAGGGAAGAGCACACAGAGGGACTACTGGTCTTGTGAAGGGCAACAACAAAGTCACAAAATACCAACATAAAATACATCTAACTTGTGTGGTATGGTTCGTTAGAAACCCCAGGTCATAGAGGGTTCTGAGTGACAAAATTAAATAATATGTTTTTAAATGATCTACAGTAAAATCCAGCCGCTTTCCTAGCAGCTGCTCTAGCAGTTTATTTGCACGTGCCCTCAGAATGCTGTGCTATATCTCTGAGGCTCTACAGTGCAGTTGTGAGATTTAGGTCTAGATTTGGGTCAGACTCTTGAGTCAGTTCTGCCAGAAACTGCTATTTCCTTTCCAGCACATTTACTCACATCCAGCTCTAATAGTAGGATTTGTAGCTCTCCTCTACTGGTTTGCCTTGTTCACAGACAGAAAAACCTACTCCAGAAGACCAGCACTAGTGGAAAAGAAGGTTATGGAGCAGGTAATAGCATGGATTTCTTAGTGAAGGACTGACACTGCCAAGCATCTTTTCCACTTACTTGCACAGGGGCCTAGTGCACAGGGCCTGATCAAGGATGAGAATGGCAAAGGCAGGCAGAGTGAGGAATTGATGATAACAAATTCCCCGGGTTTCAGCATCTTTCTGCAAATGGCATTTCGACTTTGTGTGCCTTCTCCACAGCTCACTGAACACTAGGAACAGGATGAGAAATATTAGGAAAAAGGAAAAGAGTGGTTCTTGTAACACAAGCCCCCTCATCTCCCATATCCACACTGCATACTCATACCATAGCACAGAGCAGCTACAGTGTTCAAAATGTTGCAGTAGAATAAAGCAGAGCAGCATCTGATCATGCAGCTAAAAACAGCACAGACACAGTAGGGAGATGAAATATCAGCTACTTTTTGTCCTGTAAGGCCTTGATTCTTCACATGCTTCCTTTAGAAATTTTTTTCAGATGGTGTCCCTTGTTTTAATGGTACTGTGCTACAGCTCACAGCCAGTCTTTGCACTTTGTTTCTACCTGTCTCTGTCTTGCTGGCTTCCTGTACCAAAGTGCAGACCCATTGAGTTGCAGTTCACAGTTAAATTCTCATCTGCTAAAATCTAGACTAAGCTTTATCTTTGAGCTTTGTTGTTGCAAATCTGTTAGAAATAATAAAGAGATGAGTGTTTCAGTAACCAATAAACTACCTCGGCCTAGTACATAACACACATGGCTTACACAGAAAAGTATAAAGCCTCTAATACCAGATCATGGTACTTGATGCACAGGTGGCCATTGTTCAGTGGACTTCACCATGCGTGTTATATTTCATATTTATGTATATAGCATCAAAGAAAGTGAGAATGCAGCAGTGCCTTTGCACTGAGACCCAGGCCTGTAAAAAGGGTTGGAAAATGAGTAGAGCCCTGTAATTACCATCTTCACTGCCAGAATGGCTACATGTCTCCTAGCAGAAGACTTTATGAGAACATTCAGTAATTTGAGTAAAATGTGAAGACAGATCACTGTAAGAAGAGAGCAGGTAGGACACCTCTATGAGGTGTCTGGCATTTCTCTTACAATTAAGACAATTTCCACTGCCTTTTGTGAAAGAGAACTAGAAGAGTGGTGGCCGAGACTGCAAGATGTGGAATGATTTTCATGCTTACTGGCATTATGAAGTCAAATTATATTTTTAGTTATACTGCCATAAATATAAAGGGAAATATTCTTAAACTATGTGGGGCCTGAAATGGAGCCTGGGGAAGTACAACAGACTTCAGCAAAGTGAGTTTGCTTTGCCATTCCTAAATTGAAGTCTTTGGGAACAATGCATTTAGCCTGGTGTAATAAAGATTACTCTTCACTGATGCCTTGGATGAACATAAGCATAAGCATGGACAGAGACAGGGATTTGTTCTTTTGAGCATGGCTTCTTTTTACACCAGAAGGGAGGTCTTAATAGTATGGTTGGATAGCTAAAGGATATCTGTGGAGGCAATCACCACAGAGGATCCTGGAGCTAAGCAATAACAACTCCAACAAGGACAGATTACAGGACAAAACTGGGCATAACACTCTCTGTGCCATCTGACCTCATTTGGCTCCTTTATCCCAAATTACTTAGGAACTTCAACTCCAAGAACTGTACCATCCTCATGTGTGTGAATAGCATACCTGTGTCCAGTCAGAGAGCAGCCACTCATTGGGACAATCCTCATTTTTGCAGGCTTGTTGGGTAACTGTCCTTGGCATGGAGCAGAAGGTCTCTGGCAGCTCTAATAAGCTCCCATCTGCCAGGCGCTGCTTACAAAGTGTATCTCGCTTCTGGACACCACTGCCACATGTCTGCGAACACTGTGAGAAAAGAATGAGCCACTTTACACCACACTTGCACCATGGCAACTTGCAGCAAAAATTACTTCTGAATGTTGGTAGAAATCAACACTTGGTTTTGGCCAAAAAAGAAAATATAAAGCAAAATCCTAGAGACATCAAAGTAGACTGACATTTTAAAAATGTCAAAAATATTTTGGAAAGTGGAAGCAGCTTATTTTGCTATTATTTAGAAAAACAGCTTTAGTATTACTGAAATGTTCTGTTTTAAGGTATTTATACACAAGACTTGGAAACAATGGGTCTGCACTGCAGTATGGAGGTGGAAAATTTGTCCTTTCCTGTAACCACCAACTGGAAAATGAGACACTTGCATGTGATGTGAGGATCTACCTGCTAGTATCTCCATCTGAGCTCTGACTGTAATAATAAGAGTGTCAGAGAGAGTGGAAAAGTCTTGTCCAGCAGTAGGTGAATGAGCTGGGATGATTAAGATCCAGAGAATAAACCTCTTCTCTCTCTTTAATGTAAATATACCTCTCTGCGTCCATTTTCTACTCAATTTCCTGCCCCACTCAAGGGAGGTGGGAAGTTTTTAATGAGCAAATTTAGTAGCTGCTTTTTGCAAACTTTTTTGCTCAGTCTTTTTTCCCAAGGCTGCTAAAAGTCTCCCAGTTTTGCTCAGTCCAACCAGCTCAACTCTTTTTCTCCCTTCTCTTAGAAAAAGGGGGAGCTTGCACTACACTGATGTGAGCAGGAGCTGCTTACAGCTTGCAACATGGCAATTATGCATGAGAAACAGACAACCACATGAAGAAGTACTAAAACTTAAACAGTTTAAAAGGAGTGTTTTAGAAAATCTTGCAGTCAGAAAGACACTGCTCTTTTACATAGAGAGATGTATGAACTTTAGTCTAGCCTGAATACCCAGGGACAGCCCAAGAGTCAGAAAGCCCAAGTCTTACTAGCGTAAATGTTTTAGCTTCCTAACTTACAGTGTTGACATGCTGTAGAGCTCAATGCCCTGTAGCTGCAGGAGTCACTGAACCAGCTGTGTCAGAGCTCTCCAGCCAGCCAGACCTGCTGAGGCAAATGCAGCCCTCCAGGTCACAGGTGCCAGGAGTGCCTGATGCCTCTTTGTGAGGTTGGGGCAGACAAACAGTTATTTTGCAGAAGGTGTGCTGTGGTTGAAGAGCTGTGTCAGCAGGTGAAGGAGCTACAGGAGGAAGTGAACAGGCTTTGTAACTTTGAGCAAACAAGCAAGACAGAGACAGATTATATTCAGAGACGCTACAGCCTAAAGATTCTTGGGAGTTTTGAACCTCATTTGTAGTGGAGAAGCAGATGGACTCGGAACCCTGCAGGGTAATTAGTCAAAAGAATGTTAGTCAAGGGTCTGTTAAAGGTGAAGGATGGAAGCTGGTCACTGCATGCACCAGGAGAAAAGTTCCTCCTCCTTCCCAAAATTTGAAAGGTAGAATGTGTGCCTTCTACAACAGGTATGATGCTCTGGTACATTGAAGGCCAGACAACTGATGAGGTGACCAAAGGTCCTTCTGGGATAGAGGGGCCTCCTAAAACAACACCACCTGCACCCCACACCACAACGTCCTCTGTTAAGAGGAAAAGAAGGATAGTTGTAATAGCAGTCTCCCTACTAAGGGGAACAGAGGACCTGATTCGCAGACCAGACCCAACTCACAGGGAAGTCTGCTCTCTCCCAGGGGCTCAGGTAAGGGACATTACTGGAAAACTATCCAGTAGTTATTTGAAGGTGCAGGGGTCCATCAGTGGTGGTCACTTTTCAAACATCACCTCCTAAGGACACAGGAGCAGGCAATTCCTAAATGTTAGAAATCAAACAGGTGAAGCAGAAGGACGGCTTGTCTGAAAAGGAATCTTCTCTTAGGGATAAGGTAAAAAAGGAAGCTGTATGCCAAGCAGAAGCAAGGTCAAGAGAGACATAGGAAGAATTCAGAGATGCTGCTTGTGGCCAAAGCCCAACTGGAGTTGCAGCTGGCCAGAAATGTAGGGGACAATAAAGAGTTTTTTCAAATACATTAAATGTCAAGAGGCAGTATAGAAATATCATTTATCTGTTACAGGATGAGGATGGTCACCTCATAAATAAGGTCAGAGACAAGGCAGAGATCTTTAATGCTTTCTTTGCCTCTGTCTTCAACATGGATGATGGACCAAGAGCGTCTCAGTGCCCTGAGCTGGAGGACCATGCTGAAGCAGCTGGAGGATCCGCTGCTCCAGCTGGATCTCTAGAAATCTATGGGGCCTGATGGGATTCATCTCAGAGCCCTCAAAGAGCTGCTGATGTGTTATAGGTTTGAAAAGAAATGTTGCAATTTTTTCCCAATATCAATAATCCTCTTCCTCCCATCCATTTTTTTGGGAGGGGGAAGGGGAAAGGCGTGGAACCACATGCAAAGCAGAAGGGGAGTGAGGGGAGGTTGTTCTTTTTCAACCAATCAGCACCACACCTCAGAAGCATCCTTGTCTGGAGGGCTGGCTGTCCACTGATAGACAGAGCAGTAACCATTCTCTTTTTTTTTTTTTTGGCCACCCCCCCGTCCCCCTTTGCCTGGGGAATTAGGACTTTGTTTTGTTTCTTTTGAAAGTTCTGGTTGCACCATTGTTTTTTATTCAGGTTTATTAATAAAAAGTTGTTATTTTCCTTTTCTACACCTTTCACCTGAAGCCTCCTAATTTCAAAGTTGTAGTTAATGTGGAGGGAGGAGGGTGGCTCTTCTTTTTCTGGCCCCCACACGCTCCTTACTGGACATTTTTGTCTTGTTAAACTAAGAAATGATTTCATCACAAAACCTCTTTTGATGATTTTTGAGTGATCTTAGGAATCCAGAGAAGTCCCAGCTGATCAGAAGCTGGAGAATGTTGTTCAAGATTTTCAAGAAGGGCAGGAAAGAGGACCCCAGAAACTACAGGCATCCTTCATGTACTGTAAGGCTGCTATAAGGTCTTCCTGGAGCTTCCCTACTCCAGGTCTCCAGCCTCTCTTCACATGAGAGGTGCTCCAACCCTCTGATCACTGATATGTGTGTAATGACTACTTTTAGCAGTCACAAAATGAGATTACACATACATTCTTACCTCTTGCCATTCTGTAGGATACCAGGAGGGTGGGCAGTCAAAGCGATTACAGGCTTGCACAAGGGATGGCTTTGGTTTAGAGCACAATTCATCTGCCAAAATCACAGTCTCATTAGTCTCTCTTGATAGTAGATGAGAACAGAAGACATCTCGTGTCTGTAAACCAACCCCACAGGTAAGACTGCAGGTGCTCCATTTCCCAATCTCCCATCTGTGAAGGGGTCAGGAGAGAAAATCTTAAGCATGGAATAAAATCACCTTTTCTCTTATTGCAATGACACATGGAAGGCAATTCTTCTTCTCTGATCACTGTCACTCTTGTAGCTGGAGGATGAGGCTAAGGCGAATTCTCACAGTTCTGCATTTTCAGCTCTTGTCAAAAGCTCTTGGACTCCAAGTCTTTGGGATTCCTGCAATATCACAGGAAAACTGTTGTCTCCTACATTAAGAGGTTTTAGTGTGCAGGAGCCTAGCCAATGTTTTTCAAGGTAGAATGGATTTAATTAGCAAAAAATAAAGAAGATACTAACAAAGGTTTAATCAAAGAAATGTAAAAGTGAAATGCTGAGCACGAATTTCTTTCAGAAGACCCAGCTGTGGCATTCCTGACTGACTTTTCCATTCTGTGGAGACAGGACGTACTATGTCTTTGAGAACTGTAATGGGAGGGCAGCAGATGATCTTCAACCCCTGGATGAACACTCTGTCACTGAACTAGCTCTTCTCTGCACTAGGTATATAAATCCAGCATCAACAGGATTATTGATAACTGAATTTCAGTGTTCACCACGTTAAAACCAGATTTCTACTGTTTGAGCTGTACTGAATACAAGCCCTAATTGTTAGGCCCTAGCCCTAACCTAGAAAATTGGTTAAAATATTAGGTCTTCTACTCACGTGCTCTATTAGAAAGCACTTCAGAGGTATGCAGAAAAATCATATGCAAAAACATCATATATTCAGAAGGAGAATATAAGAAAACAGTCTTCCTATCAGCTTCATGCAAAACTCTACACTGACCTGGACACACTCCCACATCCAAAATGGAAGTATGAAAGCCCCATAGTGCCACTTTTTCTAATTCTGAAGAAAGTCTAAATAATTTCTTTCCAGCTAGAATGTTATTGAAATTGATTGCTGAGGGAATAAATAAACATTCAGAAAAACGAAACCTCAGAGAATCAGTCTTTGAAGAAAGCAAATCCCGGCAGAAGGTTAAAGAGAGTGACTATGAAGGAGATACCCTCAGGCTCTATACAGGATGGAGGCAAGCAAAGAAAGAAAGTTAAGACACATGTCAGCAGAATGAAGCAGAGAAAAATCACTCTGTTGGTCTGAGATCCATTAATGGAAATAGCTCAGCACATTTAAAACACATCACATTAGTAAACACATCACTTAAATAATCATTTAAGATTGTGCCATCCTACAGTCACAGAGCAATTCTAACCTCTATTTATTTTATAAATTTTTATAAATTTATATTATATATATTTTATAAATTTTTATAAATTTATAAATTTTACATTTTGAGCACTTGTTTCCTCCCTCCCAGTAACAGCCTTAACAAATTGAAATAGCTAGCATGTAAGAAGTACTTTTTCCTCTCTCGATGATATGCTGATGGACCAAAGACACATTGCTCCCCTTCCACACTCCACCTGCTGGTGACATTCTCTGATTTTATAACAGGACAGAGTATGTCCTGAGCATCATGGTAAACACTATCAATGTTGTAGTTTGCTTTTACACAAGAGTCTTGGTTCTGTTAGTAGCAATGACAAAAATCTGTTTAACCCTTTCTAACAATAACTGTATCTTGCAAACTGAGTTAGAAGTCACCATGATCACTTTCCAGGCTATAATACACTGAAGGACACTAATCCTGATACATGTACTGGGAGCTATTTATCACTGGACTAGGAGTGACATATGGCAGCCAGTTAAGCTCAGCTGGAGTATGTTCTCCATATGAATGATCTGGGGGGAGATGTCTTCCCAGATTTTCCCATGAAACTGTCAGTCAGAATTAATGTGACTATCATCTACCCTTCAGTTTTGGCACAATCTAAAATAAGACATTTGAGTAGGTGCTGAAAAGAAGGCATTTTCTTATTTCAGAATCTATTTTGATACATAGTTTGTTGCCAGAGTTTTCTTTTATTCAAGTGCTAGCAATAGCTGTTGCCTCCAGCAACTCATTGTTTGTTATTGATGTAAGTGCAAAATGTTTTTGTTGGCAGATCATATCTCAGTGGCTAGCAAGCCACATAAACCCCTGGGACATCTTGGCTTCTGCAGAAGAGGTTATCTGTTTCCTCTTCCAGAAAGAAAAGCTCTGTATCAGTAAAGAGAAAGGATTTGCCTTTTCAATGTCTGAAATATCTGAATGTTTCAGGTTGCATCTGTTGCCCTACCTGTAACACTGGTTTGTTCACAATTCTTTCCATCTGCTTTAAACAGGAGATTCTTAGAGGTACTCAAGAACTATGAGGTCAAATTCCCTCTTACCCTTGCACTTTTGTAGTCCCAAGTGACTTTTATGGGTTTTCATAGATGCAAAGTAAAGAATGTAGAGCAGAGCAGAGATGTGATAAGTGGAGTAGGGATGTGCAAGTAACCAAAACCATAAAATATATATATGATTGGCAGAATTTCAAAGTCCTAAAAAGCACAGAGAGAATGAGTGATAATCTTATAGAACTACAGGGCTCTAGGATTATTTTGTAACAGCTAAAGGTGCTTGCAACAATTCGAACTAATATTACCCTACCAAATTTATATATAATTAATATATAATACTACCAATTAGTATCTATTCTACTTGTACTGTTGGAGATAATTTTTTTTAAATACTTTTTTTCTGAGGTAACAGATATATATAATATATAAATAATTCCAGTCTTATTTCATGTGGTACTTATCTGTGCATTCCTCTGTCTATTTTTATTTCTGGGTGTTTTGGCTATATTGAACTGACTCTTTCTGTGCATATGGAACACCAAAAGAATGCCCTGCATGTGTCTGTCAATATGAGAATTAAAATTCAAGTAGGAAGCAATCCTAAATTTTAAAAGGTGAACACAGTAGTTACAGAATCAAGCTAAAGGAACCCTGTGCAACTGGAACTGGTATCTTTGTAAGGTGTCTGTGGCTGCTGTTAAGGTGCAGACTTAGGAAAAAATCTCCATATTGCCTAGTTTACAGACAAGCTAAAAACCATTGGTTTGGTACTCCTCGTACTGCTTCCCAGAGACTGGTGAAGTGATTGCATAGTTTTGATCCAAAACATACTTTTTATCCCTTCTTCTTTCTTCTTCACTACTGCCCAAGGCTGTACTAATAAGTGGCAACAGAGAAAAAATGTTTCTTTAATTTTATCTTACAGTAGGACTTTGGTTCATCTATGCTCCTAAATTCTTGGCTTGTCCTGACTCTAGGCCTATCAGTTCTTTAGTTGTCCATCTCCATCTCCTAAGTATCTAAGTAGTGGTTATGTATTTAGGCACCAACCAGACTTTTAAAATATTTCAACTACTGTACTTAATATACAACAGATTTCAAAAGGTTTTCATCCTCTGCAGAATATACATGCATAACTCTGCTGATATACATAAAATAAACTGAATACTTGAACCAATTGAACAAAACTTATATTAATTCAAAACCACAGAGAATTTAGAGATGGTCAACAAAAAGGAATGTAACAGGAAAGAGACAATTCATAGGGCTGGATATGTTGAAATTAATATGTGTATATTAGTGATACATGTATTAGAATACACATATATGCACATTTTTCAAATGATGAAAATGAACTGCCACTGGAAACATACAGGGACCAGAGGATGGGCCAAAAATACAACTTTTTTTCAAGTATCGTCAAAATTTCAAAATCAAAACTGATCCCAGAAACTTTTAACTTTCATATGAACAATTTCGTTCCTCCAGCAGGATACCTTAGTAGTTTTTTTAGTGTCGGTCAACTACATGAAGATACACAATGCATATGAAGGCAGGCACACCAAGTAGCATACCTGATCTTACTGCTCAAGGCAATGGTTTTCCTTTAGGTTTTCTTACACATAGTGCTAAGGGTGTAGTCTAAAGTCTAGACAAAAATTCATTTGAAAGCCAACCAACTGAAGCACTTGCAAAAGCGTCCTGCCTTTCTAGGAACTAGAAACTAGAAGTGAATTAGTAATGAACAGATTTTATTACCAGAAAAACATGAGTTAGGATGTTTATAAGTCAGTTTATATTATGAATGAGACTAAAAATCTGTAATATAAAATTACTTTTATGAATTTTAAGTCCAATTTCTAAAGGACTAATGAGAAATTGCAACTTTCTGGAACATTCTCATTAAATAAATTAGGCCTATCTAAGCAATGCAATGAAAATCATGATTACTATCACAGGACAATTACTCCATATTATTAATATAAGTCTAAAAGCATTAGAGATTCTCTCAAAAACCAGCTTAACAATGCAATTTCTAATTATCTTGACATAGTTAACAGAAATCTTCCCAATAATGCCTAAATTAAACTTGCACATTGGTGATCAGGTTCAGGCTGTTTACAAGGAAAAGAAAAAACCTTTTAACACATAACTTAAACATAAAATTCTGAAGACTTCTATAAATTTAATTTTAATTGGAAATAACTGTGGGAGATGCGTCTCAGGAGGAATGCTGACAATGGAGAGATTGTTTCAGAGTGGAAGATGCAGATGAAGACAAAACCCCTGTTTGGCATTTTCTGGGACTGTTTGCGATATCAGGTTTCCCCATTTTGAGAGTTCATTGTATTTTTCCCATTTCTGCATTATTCCCTATTTACTTAAAATCCTTTTTCCCCATCAGTTAATTTCTGCTGTAATGCAGTAATTTCCTTGTATGTCCCATGTTTCCTTATATGTGTAAGCCAGTCCCATGTTCTACGCTACATACTTTTATTTTGCATGCTCCTCCCAAGTTTCACCCCTTCTTCTAGAAAGTTCATCACCTGCCATCTAAAAGGCAGGAGCCACCTTAATAAAACTGTAATTTCACCACCACACCCTGGAGTGACGTGCCTTTCTCTCATTAAGACCGTCAAATAATTTTCCTTCTTTCTTGTAATAAAAAAAAACCAAAAAGGGTTCAATATCATATTATGCCCCAGAAGTTTAGGTGAAGAACTGGAGGACCTTGTTCCTGGTTTTGTG